ATTAAAATATGCATTGCGGACTTCAAACAATACACATAGCATTTGAACTAGTAATACATATAAAATACTATGTAATTGTTTATACAAATCCTTATAAAAAATGTTAATTATATAGTAAAAGATTGCACCGCCATTCTTTTTGCTGGGAACTGTATATATATAAAGAGCAATACTATTCTAAGAAATCTTAATGTATAAAATACCCGAATTTTGGTTGCCTTTTCACTTCTATTTATTTGAGAATCAAAGCAAAACTTGTTGTCAATGTTAAATCATTTTAAATCGTAATATTGCTTGTATCATTTTTATTTTCACCCTCGATCTGTATCATGTCAAAAAGGAATAGCAAAGTTCACGACAAATATTCCATCGAAATTTCTTCAATTTTTGTGCTGATTTTGCAAAAACTATCCAAAATTGCTGACCAATGTAAATGATTCACAGTTAGCAAACAAGAAACTATCGTAATAAATAATATATTCACTCAGTAAACAAAATGAAACAAAGGTTCATTTTTAAATTCATTACAAGTCTTGGTATCTGATTCGATACTTGTTCAAAACCCAATGTTTAAAGGTCAATGTCAAAAGCCACTCAAAGTCATTCAACCACCAATAGGAGATCCTTGGAAATTAAGTGATTGTGGTAATCCACCTTCTATGTGTCATTTTATGGATGAGATTGTTAAACCAAAACTATTAAAGATTTTTTTAATGAATTTGCTGGTGAAAAAGGTGAATGGATTAAGGCCTATGAGTTAGCGCTAAAAAATGTTGGTGGTAATTTATCCGGTGTTTTACAAGCTGTTTTAGGAAACATTCAAACTTCTTTGATTGGATTTGTTAACAATTTTAATCAAGAATTTTGTGAAAAAAACACGTGTGATAAGTATGATGATGAAATAAAAGGTTTTTATTGTTAACTTTTCCATAAATTCTTTTAGAATAAGAAATGTATTAAAAGTTTATTTTTATTACAATGGTTTCGCAATAAATTGTTTTCGCAATTATAAATTTATCATGTGACACTAGATTTCAGAAGATAAAAAAATAAATGAAAATTTAAAGTTTTTATAGTACTTTAATATCTACAATAATTTAATTATTTTATACAACAAAAAATGTAATATTACATCTTTGTCCCTGTGAACTTATTTACTATATATAATTTTGCAGAAAGGGGATCAAATAACAATCTTTGATGATCACCAATTACATTTTTGATTGGTATTTCCTCGTTTATCATCTCATTAATCCGCATTCTTACTAAATTTCCATCCAAGTCCAAATTCTCCATAGTAGGTCCAATAAGTTTTTTAATAAAATCAACCGTGTATTCCTTCCCTCTATCCATAACTATAGCCGCCAATAATTTAATAAACATATCACCCATTTCTTTTATATTCAAAAAGGATTTTTTAGCATAAATTAAATCTTGTAATTTCAACATCTTGGCAAATATACAAAGTCTATAATCATTACGTAAATCTTCATGAATTTTTTCCAATATATCTGGTGTTAATTCTCCTCTAAATTTTTCGTACGCCATTTGTGAAATAGTTATGCTAAAAACGTAATCTCCAAAAAACTCAAGTCTCTCATCATCATTAATCACGTTTGATCCATGATTTCGTTGATCTGAAAAAACTATACCGTGAGTAAGAGCACATGTTAAATATCTTGGGTTTTTAAAAAAAGGTATTTGAACTGTAAAATAGAATAAGAAAAATAATTATAATTATAATGTTATATTGTTTTAAAAAAATAAGTAATTATTTTTTTATTTCTATTTTGTTACCGTATGATAGGTTACATCTTTGAGAAGTTGCCGAGGAGGATCTTTCACTGGGTTTAACATATTTTTTAGGATGTTGACTATTAACGTTGTTGAGCTCTTCTAATCGACGCTTCGCAGAATTCAACATAAATTTGTTGAAATCATTCCGATCGAACCAATTGATCATTGGGTTATCTTGATTTTGAATAAAGTTAACAACTTTAAATCCCATAGGATTTAATTCATTTAAAACTTGACCTGCATGATTTGAAAAAGTAGGTGAACCAGCATTATCTTCTTTTTCCAAATCAATGGGAAATTCTGATGTTCCAAGAGATCTCGATAAAACCTTTTCGTTCTCATGAGATATCACGGCATTATCGGAATCTGAGCTTGTAACGGAAACAGGAACATTAGCAAGCTCTTCCTGCGATTTTGAAGCTTTCTCATTAATATTCGAATATCTCTCGGAATAAAATTTGTCAATTAAAGAATTCATAGGCTTTCGCGTAGATTCTTTAGGTTCCAAATCCGCCTTTGGTTGTTGAAAATTTGTAGTAACAACATCGGAATCGGAATTGCTAGCTGGACTTGAAGGACACGTCTCGCAGTTACTATGTGAATCATCGGTATGTGAATTAAATGTTTTAGAAAATTCCGTTCCATCTATTTCCATGCATTCATCATCAGAATCACCAACAACAATGTAAGAATTTTCTTCGGAACCATGAGCGTCTTTTTCCACATTAATTGGTGGTTCCGTGCTAGTTTCTATTTCAAGATATTCATCAGATGAATAATCAAGTGAAACTTGATTCATCATTGCAGCTTTGTAAGCTCTCCGTCTTTCTCGATAACCTTCATTAATAATATCCGAAGTAAGTTTTAACTTGAATATCGGTCCTTTCTTTTGTGAAGGTTTTATCGTTCTTATTAGCGTCTTCTGTCCATTATCCGTACAATCATTATCCATTTTGTTTTTAGATGTTGGTCTATTGGCACCGTTTTTTTGACTTGATAAAGGAGCGTGGGATCGAATTGATTTACTTGAATTTTCCAAAGAACTTGCTGGAGCACCACTCGCTTCTTTGGGTTCCTCATTTAAAACATCACAAGCATTACATTCCTTGTAATAACATAAATTATGAACGAGACCGGTACTTTCGTCAGTTACGACGTAATGACTATGGAACGCCATTTTGGTTTTAAAAAAAAAAAAGTGAGAGAGAGTTTGTTTGTTGTGTTTATATATATTCGTAATGATCGTCAAATGTTGTGGTAATTAGATCACATGATGTAAGTTATTATTATCGTAATCGGAACTGTCCACGTGATAAGTACTTTAAAAAATTTATTTATGTAGGGTCTAGGATAAGAACTGGCCCAGGATAAATTTCTAAATTTCTTATATAACTGTTTGCGTCAGATGTTTGGCCAAACCTTCTTAAGGCATTATAAGATCAGCCCAAATAGGCCCATAATTTAGGCCAGTCGGCATCTGACGTAAAATTATAATTAACGCACAACATATATAACCAAACCAATTGCAAATTAATTTCATTGGTTCAAATTTACAAATTTTTTTTCTTAATTATTTTAGTTATAATATCAAATCATAATTTTTAATATTTAATATAAAATTAGTATAATTTTTTAATAAAAAATAGTATATAAATTATTAACTATATTAACCAAATTCTTTTATTATTATTTTAGAAAAGTATATAAAAAATAATAAATTTTATTTATTTAAAATAATAAATTTAATTTTATTATTTTAATTTATTTAAAAATATAATTAAAAATTTTAAAATAATATAACTATTTTATTTTTAAAATTTTATTATTATTAAGTATTAGAGTTTTTAACTTTTAAGTAAATTAAAAGATTAAATGTTTTATAAATAAAGATTTTTATACATATAAATATTATTCCTTAAACTGTAAATATAAATTTATTTTTAAAACATTTTAAAAAACTTAAAATATTTTAATATCTAATGATTATAAAAAAAAATAAAATAAAATTTTTAGATTTATCATATTATGATATATCTAATAGTAGTGATTTTAAACTTTATTATC